AAAAGTTTGATTTAGTTCTAATATTTCATTATTTTTTTGTCTAGTTGATCTGTCTTTTTGTGACAGTGGGGTAGTGAGGTCTCCCAATACAACTGTGCTAAGGCTTATTTGATTTTTCATGTCCATTAACAATTATTTTATATAACTGGGCACACAAACATTTGTTGCATATATATTTATGATTGTTATTTCTTCCTCTTAGATTGTTCCCTTTACCATGATGCAGTGACCTTTATCTCTCTTAATCAATCTTGGCTTGAAATACACTTTATCAGCACATAGAATAGCAACCCCTGCTTTTTTTCTGGATTCCTATTGCATAGAGTATTGTTTTCCATCCTTTAACTTTCAGTCTATGAATTTCTTTTTGGATTAAATGTGTTTCTTGTATACAGCATATTGTTGGAACTTGCTTCTTAATCCATTCTGCCAGTCTGTCTTTTGACTGGTGACCTGAAACTATTAATTGAAACTATTAACATTAATGGTTAAAACTGATATGTATTGATTTATACAAGTTATTTTTCTATTATTGGCTCCCCCCTTTTTTTCCTTCCAATTGTTTACATTTCCTGGTGGATTCCTTCTGTTGGGGTTCGTGGAGCTGTAGTCTTTATTACCTCTTTCTAGAATTGCCTTCAGAACACTTTGGAGTGGTGGTCATGAATTTCTTCAGATGTTCCTTGTCATTGGAATTATCTTATTTCTCCCTCAACGTAAAAGGTAGTTTTGCAGGATACTTCAATCTGGTTGAAAGTTGTTTTCCTTTAGAACTTTGAGCACTTTAGTCCAAGCTTTGCTTGACTTAAGGGTTTGTGCTGAGAAGTCAGCTGTGATTCTGATGGGCTTTCCTTTGTAAGTTATTTGTTTCTTTAACAGCTTTTAAAATTCTATTCTTGTGTTGAATTTCTGGAATTTTCAGTATGATATGCTTGGATATAGATTTTTTGATCATTGCTGATTGGAGTTCTAAATGCCTCACTTATTTGTATGTCAAATTCTTTCACTCTACCAGGAGTTTTCTGTCATGATGTCTGTGAAGATTTTTAAATGTCATTTGTGGTATCTCCTGCTTGTTTGTTGACTCCAATTAATCTTAAGTTATTCTTCTTTGTCTCATCTAGCAGCTGCTGAACTTATTTCTCATGTTCCCTTATTAGTTTTGAGAAATATTTCTTTTCCTGGTTACTAACTGCAATCTTATCTTCAATATCTGTGATCTTGTCCTCACATTGGCCTAATCTGCTTTGATTACTTTCAATGAAGTTTTTATCCTCCTGGATATCTGTTTGAATCTGCTTTATGGGTTCCATTTGTTTCCTATGTTGTGCTTCCATAATTTTCTTAAACTCATCTATTTTTTTGTCTGTGTCTGCACTAACATACTAAGTATGGTATGTATCTTGGTAATCTCTGAAGTTATTTGAGAGATTATTTCTGATTTCATTTTTTTCAGAGCCTCATTAAATTGCTTTGTTACCACTTTGGAGAGCCCTAATAGGGGGCTTTTGGATTTTCCAACTTCATTGCCCCCTGGGTTTGTCCTAGGTGAATTTGGTGTCTGAGATTGCATCTTGTTTGATTGTCTTCTCATACCTTTTCAACCTAATGCAAAACAGTTATATACAATACATAAGACTGTAATATATCAATTCTGCCTTCAAGGGTTAAGATTCAAAATGGATTAAAAAGAAAACAAAAAAGTGGGAAAAGAGAAAAAGATTGTAAGTAAGTTGGAGAACAAAGATGTATCCCAGAAACTTGGGGAAACTGATAGAAAAAACTGAAGGAAAAGACAGCTGGATGATATAAAAGGTAGAACAGAACAAAACCACACCCACAAGGATGTTGAGAACCACACTCATGCTCAAAAAAAAAAATCAGAAAGAAGTAAAAGACAAGCTGAGTAAAACAAACAAGCAAGAAAAAAAACAACAAGAAAACAAAAGAAAAAAAATTTAAAAATAGTCCACTTCCACAATTGTCTTTGGATTCACTAGTAGACAGTCTAGAGAGGCAGCATCCCAAATCTTGCCACTGTATCCCTGTGAGCCAGGAACTGCTTTATGGTGAAGTAGCAGACAAACTTAGTAGGCCTGCCCCAAGACCAGACACATTAGGCTCACTGCAATCCAAGCACTTCGACTGAGTCTGCCCCCAGCTAGGATCTGCTGGAGGAAGCCGGCAACAGTTCTGGTTCTGGGTTTATCCAGCCCCACTCCCAGATGGCTCCCAGCTAATTGCTCCCTCCTGCAGGAGGATGGAATCCTCTGCACTCACCACCAGCCAGTACAGTCCTCCATGTCTGCCGCTCCCCTCCACTGCCAAATCCATGCGGAGAGGCCTCCAGAGTTGCCGGCCATCACCTTCACTGTGACTGCGTGTCTCCGAATTCCAACAGATGCCCTCAAACAGTGGGTCTGGCTCTGGGTGCAGGAGCCACCAGCTGCATCCTTCTTCGTTGAAGATTTTCTTTTTACTCTCTCTATGGCCTTTGATTCAGACTTCAGGCTCTTCCTGGGCCCGAGGGACCCGCTTCCTTCTTGTCTTCCTCATGATGGTGTATCCCGGCATCTGGATGGTGTCTCTCACAGAGGCTGTTTTCTCTGCTGCTTACTACTCCGCCATCTTCCCGGAAGTCTGTAATGTCGATTTAAATTATCAGAAAAGAAAATTAGTTTAAAATACTTTATCTATATTTCTGTGATATTAAAACTGTATCGATGTTTTGTTTTTAAACTTAATGTCTTTAAACTGAACATTCCATATCCTTATGTTTTTATGTTTTGCATATTGAATATGGCTAATCAAAAATTTATAAAACTTATTCAAGGACTGACTATACACTAATGAGTATATTTTCTTCTCTTGTTAATATTTTTCAAATGCATGTGTGTGTCGTGTGTGAGTGAGTGTGTGCATGTGTGTGTGTGTTGTAGTTCTTTGGTTCATGGTTCCTTAGAACTGTGACAGGCTGTGAACTTATAAATTTTATTTTGTCCTCCTTGTGCTGGGCATGGGTACTGCATCATGTACTTTCCTGTTGTTATTATTCCTTTATAATATTCCCAACACTCATTTTCTCTGTTTGAATTGTTCTCCATAGATACATTTCTGTTAATGGGAAACCTAGATGCAGTATCCTCATCATGGACTTTGTCCATTGCTGCTGTTGAAATGTCTCATTTGCATGGCTTCTTTGAGTGTCAGTCTACCTCACCAAGGAACATCATATTTTTGCTGTTGTTTTTAGTTCTCACTGTATGCACGGATGCAACCATGCTTGTAGCAAAGGCTCACAGTATGCAGTATTGTGATAACACTGAGCTTTGTCCCCAAATTCCATTTTCCTCTTGTGTTCTTGTAACCTCCTTGAAAGAGGCTTCTCAATAGGTCAGATTTGCCTCTGAGGATGTTTGACTGACACTGTGTTTTGAATCTTAGGAACACGGCAGTCTGCAAAGGAGATATTACTACTTGCATCTATGCATCTATATCTATGGCCAGGGATGCTGTAGGTTCTTTAAGCACAGGATGTTCTCTCTGGAGTCCTGTGAAAATCTAAATAGGGCTGGATATCTGGAACTGTTGATTGGGACACAAATGAGGTAATCTCTGTGGAAAATAATATGGAGGTTTCTCAAAATACTAAAAATATTGTAGTTTCTTAGTGGTGGTACAGGGAGAGTCACCACCAGCAATGTGGCCCCAGAATGTACACTTGCATAAAAATATATCAGTTAAAATAAATGTGCCTTTAAAGAATGAAATGCTCTGAAGCTGGAAAGATGGTGCTATGGTACCCATTTTTAATTTCCTATTAACTTAATCTGAAACCCTATATTGCTTTTACTGCCTTGTTTTGATTGATTGTATTTGAATCTGTCTTTTTTTATTGCTATCTTGTCTTGACTGATTTTATTAGAATCCATTATGTTTGATAGTATCAAGTCTGAGAGTTCAGGCAACTACTCTGAAGACAATAAAATTCACTATGATACCCATTCTGGTTTGGCTATTACCTTCTTTTGAAGTCCTAAGTGTCTCCAATGTTTTATTTTTATTGATTTTGTTCTGTACTGCTATGTTCAATTTTATTGTGCCTATGGGCAATTCTATTGAAGAGAACAAGAGACATCATGGTAACCATTGTAGATCACCATGTATTATGATTTTAAATTATTTACTATGCCCATCCTTTTGTTTTGAAAGACACCATTTTGTTTGCTTGTTTTTCTCATTTGGTTTTGTTTTTTTTTTCAAAATAAAAAATGAAATACTGAAAGGTGAGCAAAAATGAAGTGAAAACTTTAGAAATCCCTTAGATTTTGGCCCATCTTATCCATCCTTGGAGCTGCTGAGGACTTTTTTGTGACACCAATTAAAGTCCCTGAAGACACAAGCTCAGCACCTGCTACTCCCATGTCACAGTGGTTTGTCAGATTGGTCCCACAGATCTTGCATGGCTCCTTTCCAGAGTCCTGCCCTTCCCAGTAAGTCTACAAATCGAAAGTGACTATGCCCGCTTTCTCCCTTCATAGCCACATATTTTAAAAGTAGCAAGTGATTTCCACTGGTTACTTATTAATGTTACACTGCATCATGCAAATATGGATCCTATTGGTTTAGCATTGCTGTGGTTTGAAGGTTTGATTTCACCCAAATACATGAGTTGAAAGATATACCCCAAGGAGGTACTATTCAGAGTTGGGGCCATGAGAAGGTGAGTAGGTCACAAGGGTGCATCCCTTATAAGTGGTATTAGCACCCTCATAAAATAATTCCAGAGGGTTAGCTTGTCCTTTCCACTACTGAGAACACAGTCAGAAGGTGCCATCCATGACCCAGAAGGCAGCTCTTGCCCAGACGCTGTGTCTGCTGGAGCAAGGCTCCAGAACTGTGAGGCATGAATTCTTGTTTACACAGTAAACACTTATGGTGTTTTATCAAAACAAAGGGAAGCCTCTTCTCACGTTTGGCTGTTTTCCCTGTCTCTGCAGGCTGAGGTACTGGCCAAAATGTTCCATTTGCAAAGTCCACAGAAGCTGCTGATGCTGGAGAAATCTTTGCGGATGGCCCTCCCTGAGTCCTTAAAGGTGAGACTGGAATGTTCTTCAGAAAAAAAGGACCATTGAGTGCCTACTACAGAATGGGAATGAGAAGAAGCTTAAACTGCACACCTGTGCCATGGCAGGTGCTCTCTCATATGGTGACAATGTGGTCCACATTGACTCTTTCAAAGCAGGGCAATTACCAGAAAAGAAAACAGGTCTCAAAATGAGACCTGGTAAATACCAAACAATGGCAAAATAGTGTTTTAATGTCAATCATTATTTATATTAAGAAATGTTTCACAACAACAGTGAAAATTTCCCCATTTATACATTTCAAAGGTTGATTTCAATACACACTAATTTTAAAACATGTGTATCCATGAGAGGTTAATTATACATATGTAATTACACATATGTAAAGTCAAATCCTATTTCATAAAACTCAACAGATCCTATGTTATTTGCAAAAGAGACCCAGAAATGACTATAACCTACTCATTATATCACTGCAGCAACATTTACTGGAGAAAGATTGGATTTATGCATATCTTTTGCTTATTTTCCATTTTTAACTTTTGGGCAATTGCTGAAACTAGCAGCCAATGTTTTATTTTAAAGAGAATAAAACAAAACAGAGGAAAGCTAATCAGAACAGAGCATGAATGAATGAAAGCTAATCAGAATAGAGCATGAATGAAAGCATTACAGGTCTTCAAAACAAGATAATAGGAAATCAACAATGGCTGCCATAATGTTACCTGTTTTCTTCAAAATAGCCTTCCATACCATTCAACATAATAAAATCAAACCAAACAAAACAGAATAAGGCCAATCAAAGCAAAAGAATGAAAGTACATTTTAAAGAGAATAAAACTAAACAAAATAAAACAGAATAAAGCCAATCAAAAAAAAACAGTGAAAGTGATTCAAGATTTCAAAACAGGATAATAGAAAATCAACAATGACTACCATAATGCCTTTTGGCACTATCTTCAAAATCGCTGCCCATACCACCTGATATAATAAAATCAAACAAAACAGAACACTGAATAAAACACAACAATAAAATGGAATGAAGCAAAACAGTGAGAACAATATTAGATTTCAAAAACAAGACAGATGGAAATCTCCCATAGTTGCTATATTGCCTATTGTTATCCTCTTAATAGATGTTCAAACTACCAGCCTTAGGCCTGTAAAGTTAATCAAACAATACAAGCATTAACTGTTTTGGTACCTCAGTGGCTATCAACTCAGTCTGTCCTCTGATTCAGCTGGTTGCTAATGGAGGATTAAGGAAGTTTCCTTGTCTCCCAGCCTGTGCACTGGTTGGCTCATAGGAAGGAGAAATTGGCTTCTTGTTACTCATCCCAAACCTAGCATGGCTTCTGCTGAGTCATGGGAAGGGCAAATTAGTTTGCTTCTCCACCTAGGCACCACATGGTTTGTAATGGCTCATGGGAAGTGTTAATTGGCTTCTTGTTACTCCTCCAAGGCCCAGCATGGCTTGATTTTTTAAAAGTATATTTCCACAAAATGAAGATGACCTGATCATTATTCTCCCTATGTCACAAATGATGGATCTAAGGCAGAGAGAACCTGATTACTATGTCCAACTAGTTACTGATAGGGCCAGGAATACCCATAATTCACATCAGCCCCCAAACTACCCTTAATGCACCTGCATGGTTAGAACAAAAAAGAGTTGAAAACCAAAACACTGGCAGTAACACATAGTAACTGTATCACTACATGTTGCTGCATGGAGTATGAATTGGCTCAGTCACACTATAAAATAATGTACAATTTACATCACAAACTATATATGTAAGTGCTGTACAACTAACAATCACCCACATGAATATTTACCTCTGAAAAATGCAAGTTTATTTTTACACAAAAATATATGCAGATAAAAGTGTCAAGAAGTTTTATATGAGTTAGCAGAAAACTGGAAATAGCCCTGATGTCCTTCAGGAGCTGCAGGGTTAAACACATGCTATTAGTCGAAGATATGGAATGACACTATTAAGTGCCACTGTTGAGTATATCAACCTGAGTGACCTGAGATCTGTGCAGGGTACTTGTGGAGCTCTCGGTGTATGTGTGGAGTGGTCCTGGAGCCACAACATTAGATATTATATCTGGTCCCTAACCCTTCCTCTTTTGTGTTCCCTCAACCCTCTCCTTCTACTGCTTCTTCATCACCATAAACTGAGCTCCTTTGCTCAGCTATGCTCTTCTATCATGATGCTTTAAAGCTATTGCCATTGACTAAATTCCTGAAAGCCATGAACCAAAACAAGCCTCTCTTTCTTTAAGCTGTGGGTATTGGGTAATTTATCCCAGTGACAGAAAACTGACTAATACAAACACTAAGTAGTAAACAAAATTAACTATTGATATTTTCAGCCATCTGGATTAATCTCCAGAGAACTATATAGAGTGAAAAAAAAACCCCAAATGTATACAGATGGCACAATTCAATTTCTATAAAATTTCTGAAATGGCAATATTACTGTGATGGAAGATGGATTAATGCTGGTCAGTGGTGAAGAATGGAGTGAGTACAACTATAAGGAGGCAATGTGAGCGCTTTTTATGATTTTGAAAATATTCTACATCTTAACCTATCAGTCTCAGTAGTTTGTACTATTATATTATAGTTTTGCAAAAATGTTTCCATGGGAGGAACTCAGGAAATGGTAGACAAGACTTCTCTGGCTTAATTTCACCAATTGCACATGCATTTCTACTTATCTCAGAATTATCAGTGTGACTGAATCACAAAAGAGTATACTGTAAGAGCAGCACACGATGTTCATTTTAAATAATGGGTTACAAAGAGAATAAATAAAGAACAGTGCTTCTCATTTTGGCAGAAAGAATTGGGGGTTCTACTATTGGCTGAGGAGAAAAGAAATGAAAGAACTAGAAAAAAGGCAGACTAGCAGAGGTCTGCCTGGGCCTATACTAGCATACAGAGGAAAGAGATTAGGTCCTGAAAGTCTCTCTAAATTACATCCATGCAGGGCCACCCTGGTGACCATCAGGAAGCCATGGAAAGTCCAGACCAAGGCTGGGGCATCCGAGATGGTCTATGAAGGATGTACCTTGCTCTGTGGAGGAGCTTAGTGAGCTTCTCTTCCTGCTGCAGACCTACAATGCGATGTCCCCACAGCAAACCTTATTCCTATGATAGGAGCGGGGGAAAGAGTCTACACCATGATGGTGTATTCTTTTCTTCTGTTTACCTGCTCACTTCTCCAGCCAGAGGCACCGCACACTCTGCTGATGTCCTCTATGCAAGCCAGGTTTTTGCAGGCACACATTTCCACTTGCAGGGAATGAGCACATGATGTAGCTTGCTGCTGGCTGTATCTACATGGCCGTTCATGGGGAAGCTATATCTTGCTAGGCCCTGGATCTAGCAAAAACTGGTGTGGTAAATGAGGGCCTAGCTCAAGTGCCCAGTCATAATAGCTCCCATTTGCAGCTCTCCAATCTGGTCCAATAGAATCCAGGTTACTAGTGTTCTCCTCAGTTGTGGTTTGTTTAAACATCTCCCAAAGTCTAATGCAATCTCGGAGGGGACTGAGTATAGCGTCTGTGATTGGTTTGTTGTCTAGTGCTGGTATTGGCAGTGTAAGTGCTACCCCTGCCCAGAGGCAGGTGAACAGCATTCAGTATAAAGGAGGGAAGCAGGCATGCTTTCCCATTTTTGCCCTTTTTGCTGTTACCATTTGCTACCACATGAATGGCTGCCCCAGTACCATGCCACCCTGCCTTGGAGGAATGTGAATACAAACTGAAAACTCCAAAAACTGTAAGATAAATAAACCTCTCCTTGCCTAATTTTGGGGATCAGGTATTTTGTCTCAACAATGACAAAAAGGGTAACCAAGACACCCTGAGACCTCGGCAGACAAAAGCTGGAGAAGGTCCAGATCCAATGTTTGATGAATCTTTGGCTTTTCTCAGCATGATAAAAATATCAGATTCTATTCACCAAGGCAGCATGGGTAACAGCTAAGGATGAGAGTTTAATCATTTTCTGGTGGCTGTAGTAAACAAAGTATCTTAGTTACTTTTCTCATTGATGAGACAAAATACTTGACACCTAAAGCTAAAAGAGGGAAGATTTATTGTAGTTTATAGTTTGTAAAGGTTTCAGTTCATAGTTGGCTGTCTCTAAGGCAAGGTGCCATTGCAGAGGAGAAATAGTTCATGGTGGGCATAAGGCAGCAAAGTCAGCAAAGAAGCAACAAGCAACATGTGATGAGAGCAGCCCTCCTTCTGCCCCTCATATTCTATCCAGGCTACATGCCCTTAGGCAGGCAGCACTCACACTCAACTGTGGGCCTTCCCACCCAGAACTATGCCAAGCCAATCAGTGGACTGGTTTAATAATCACACACACTTAAGTATCACACACTCTAGATCTAGTCACCTCTGAAGAAACTTTACCCGAGTCCACTTGAGGCTTTGGGGGATGTCCAGGAACAAGTCATAACAGAAAGGACAAGATTATTTTGCATGAGGAAACTGAAGCCCTGAGAGCACATTAGACAAAGTGCAGGAATTTGACACAAAAGATGTCATGTGTCAACTTCACTTTTTAGTAATAATAAGAGCAGGAATGTGCATGTTTGGTTAACACTGTGCAGTGCCTGTATCAAGTAGGTGAGCAGAATGGTTAGTATGTGACTTCACCACCAGGAAAAACGGAGGTCATGAGAACTCCTAGCTCTTCGAGTGGTTATTACCATGAAGGATTGTGTGTTGGTACTAACACTGCCTGATATGCAGAAAATCCATGCAAGTGTTAGCTATTATCAGAATACACATTAGGTGAATTGCGGGAACATCTATCTTTTACTTTTGCCACTGACATCTTGAAAGCCCTGACACAATGGGTAAACTGAACCCATCTACTTCCTGGAGTGAAGGAGGCATCTCTCACCCTTTCCTGTCAGTGGTATCAGAGGAGGCCCTAGTGAGGATTCAGGACTCTCATGACATCACATCCTGAGGGAGCCACACAGACCCAGGATGGCATCAGGGGACAGTACATGGTGAGCATAACAAGAAGCAGCTTTGTTCCCACCAGTGAAGGGCAAGTGGAGGAGTTGGAATCTGGCCCTATAATAGTGGGGACCCCATTTACCCTTAGGTGTCAAAAGCCAGTGGATCCAGTGGAAAATCTGGATTGCTGGCCACATTGCATCTCTAAGGAATCACACTTCTCTTATTCCTTTGCCAGACTAACACCAGAGAAATCCCCTATAACAAAATTGAAATAAGACTACGGTCTCAATATGTACATTCAATAAGTCAATGAGTCAATTGCATGGTAACTTTTTATTTAATAACCAGGAAAATTTGATTTTGAAAGAGAAGCAATAAACAAACATCATGAGTGACATGAGAAAGATTTTAGAATAATCTGGGAAAGATTTTAAAGCCAAATGATAAAAATACTTTATGAGTACTCCTAAAAATACTTGCAATGAATAAAAAAGTATCCAAAGTTTGTTATTTTTGCAATATTTGTTTTGTGTACATGACAGATGGAAATCTGTGAAAGATGTTACTAATTATACAGTGGTAGAATGCATTCATATGTTTTTATTATAATATTTTAAAATATATCTCTTAATTGGAACAGGATGGACATAAAAGCCATTTGACATAGATGTTTATTAGATATTTTTGAATTACTTTATTTTTAAAAATCTCTGTTTGGGTCAAATAGGAGGCACTTCAGAATCTTTCTGTGATGAGATGACCCTCTTGCTTTGTTGGAATGTTGTAGGTTTATGGAACCATCTTCCACATGAACCAGGGAAACCCATTCAAGCTAAAGGCCCTGGTGGATTCCTGGCCTAATTTTAATACTCTGGTTGTTCGTCCTCAGGAGCAGGTAAGTTACCAGCTGTGGGATGAATATGCCACTGTGTTTGTGTATGTTGTGTTAGTGCTTTGTGCCAGGCAACATAGTTTAATTCAGGAAGACAGAAATGATTCACAGTGTTTCCACGAGGCCAAGTGTTCAGTTGGTCCAGTTTTCAGGTGAATCTAGAGAAAATTATAGCATTGTGTGAGAGGAGCAGGCACAGAACTACAGAAAACATACTATAATAGTTCAGAGAGAAAGCAACTAAAAGCTTACACAGCATACATACTCATTATTTCATTTCTGCTTAAAATCCAGTCCCCCAACACATATTTGGTGATGCTTTGTTACTTATAGTATAAGGTCCATGAGATTTATTGACAACAATGACAAGTTTTGTGCCCATGTATCATCCACCATATTGATACAGAGGAGTCTGATTGTTTGTTACAGTCACTGAAAGATCATTTCCCAGGCAAGGCTTCTATAGTACAATAAATCAGACCCCAGTTACATTTTCAGTTACTGGTCTAATACAAAAAAAAAGTTACTTGCCATTTAAAAACTCTGACTTATGCAAGATTGGTGCAACAAAATTTAATCCTAGCAGGTGTATGAGGCAGGAGAGTAGCAAGTTCAGAACTAGCCTGGGAAATTCAGACATTTAGCAAAACTGTCTCAAAAAAAAAAGTGTCAGTGACTGGGAAAGTAGCTCGGTGAGAAAGTCTTGAGCTTAATTCAAGTACTGAAAAAAGTTTAAAAATCTCACTGGCCTTGAAACCATATGGACTTGTTGCTACTCCACTATGATATTAGAATACTGTCTTCCCATTGAGACTTGCGACTGCACTGTAAAAAACTGTCCACAAGAAAGCCAGTAAAACCAGGCAGAAGACAAATAACAACACGTGGTGGATGTTACACAGATAGATTTAGAATTGCTGCTTTATAAAAATTTTATCAAAACTAATGTTACAGATAAATATAATTTTTATTAGACAAAAGAGGTAAATTTCTAGTTTGAACCACAGTGTTATTACTGAGTAAAAGTGTATTTTTAATATAATTTTAATATTGTAGTTTAAAAAAAGTTTTTGATTCTAAGATGTGGTAATTTCCTCTTGTCTGTTCCTTAAAATTCAAATAATCTCCTCTTCAGCTTGAGAAATTTGCTAGATGTATTTAAATGTATATGTCAATGAATATGCTTATGTGTTGTTGTTTGGTAGAATTACAGTTCAATTAACTATTGTTAGTCATTTTTTGAAAGAAAGCATTACTTAGTTAATTATCTTTTTACTTGATTTCACCACTGATAGATAAATACTCTAATCCTATGATCTGGATGAATTTTAATACGGACATATGCCTAGCCCAGTACCGGGATTATCCCTTTGGGTTATTATTTTGATTTTCAACTATTATTTTGACTGTTCCACTTGAGGTTCCTAGAGGTATCAAAAATGACTTTAAGAGGATTCTCCTTAAAATTTCAAAGAATTAGCCAAGGTAGAAAGAGTTTTTGTGTGGGAAAATTTTTCATTATAAATGAATAAAAGATCTTGAATTTCACCACACAGTATAAATAATTCTAGGACAACTCCCCCAACAAAACATACTAGTTTAGCATGTAAAACAATGGCAATATAACAGAATGTTGACTACCATGTTAGCAATCACCAATTAAAAGCACTCTGTTTGATTCCTCTTTCCTCAAACAGGAAATGACTGATGACCTAGATCACTACACCAACACTTACCTAATCTACTCCAAGGATCTCAAGAAGTGCCAGGAATTCCTTGGCTCCCCAGAAGTCATCAACTGGAAGCAGCATTTGCAGATTCAAAGTAAGAGAACTGGAGCGGGTCCCTGGTGCTGAGTTCTCCTGGTACATGTTTCCGAGCTATCGATTTTGAACAGCACCCTATGCCCAGTGCACCTGCCCTCCCTAAACCTTAGATGCTCAGCCTCCTGTCTGTTCATATTCTCAGCAATCTCTGTGTCCAAAGGGAAAACCCAAAGATAGCATGGGCAAGTTTTACATAGGAAACTGTGAATGATGTTACTACTAAGCCTCATAATTTATCCACTGCTGTGCCTGGGACCAGTCAGAGAGTACAGGTAAAGGAAGAAAGCTGCCTCTCTGTCTCATTTCTGTTTGTCACACTGTCAAATTCATGAAGGTGTATTTTTGTAAATAAGAATACGCTGCCTGGGATTAGACTACCTAAGGTTGCAGCCTGACTGGGCTTCTTATTAACTGTGATGTAGGGAAAGTAACAACCTCTCTGTGGGCTGGTTTCCACTTGTGTAAGATGATTACAGTAGTACCTGAAGTATGCAGTTCTTCAGGGTCAAATGGGGTTTTGAATGGGAAATGGATAGCAGTATTCTGGCTGTATCAGTCAGCTATCCAAACTACCTTGAAGCATCTATTTAGAGCAACTATTTATCAGTTTATACTGTGTGGGTCAGTACTTTGGAACAGACTTAGGTTGTTTGCTCATCTCTCCAGATCAAACATTTGCATGTGAATGGAGGCTTGCATGAGGACTGGAAGAACCAGATTAGTCAGGGTCTCAGTCTTGGGCCCCGTTGTTGATCCGAACTTTGCACAAACTGCTGACTGCAGTGATGAAAGCGGCTTGGGCAAATGTAAAAGCTACAAGGTCCTCAGGAGCAAAATGACAAGGCAAGACCCAGAGCACACTTTTAGTGCCCACGAGGGAGCTGTTTATGGCCAAGGCACATTGCCAGGATAAGCCTACAGATACCTCCAAAGAGAAAGTCATGTCAGTGATATAAGAACAATATGGAGACATTATAATGAACATCTGAACACTTAGCACATAGAATTCATTGAAGAAATTTTGCTTATTAGGTCTATGCCCTATTCTCTTTGATAGTCATTACTGTACCATAATGTATACAGGACTTGTAGTGTTATCCAAATTTGAAACTTTAGAAAATGGGAAAGTAATATACCCAGTGCCATATAAAACTTCTATTATGATTAAACACAAAGCATGTGTGTGTATGTGTGTGTGTGTCTGTGTGTATCTGCATGTTCACATACTTTCCAGTGACATTGTACAACACTTCCAAAAACTGAAATGAACAATGAAATGTGATTCCTCATTTTTCCCATCTAGGTACACAGTCCAGCCTACATGAGGTGATAGAGAACCTTGCATCCATCCATTATGGCCAGGTCAAGCACACACAATGCAATCTCTACATGCCACTGGATACTGCAAAGAAACTGGTTCCTACCCTTGTGGACACAAATAACTTATCATCCAATGCCAACAAGCCCAAGTCCCTGTAAGTTTGATAAGAGTCACTCCCCACCATCCACACGTGAAAACCGCTGAAGCTGTCTTTAATGTTAGTTTTCAAGCCCTGTCACAAAAATTTATTTAAAACTAGAAATGACTTGTCTCACAGCTTTTGAGTCTACAAATCCAAAGTCAAAGTGGGGATTCCTTTCAATGTCTGTGGAGCCTTGGAATTAACACTCTGCACCCATCTAAAATCCATCTCTCCCAATCCTACAGTGTGTAAATGAAGGAGAGATGGTAGGAAATAGGGAGATGGACTCTGTGGAGATGGGATAGGGCCCAGGGATGGGAGGGCAAGAGAAGGCAAAAGAAGAGGATGTAGAAAACACCAAGATAAGTATACTTTAATTTCCCCAGAACAAATGCAATTATTATAAATCACAAACATATACCAACAGTTACAGTGCTCATACAAATGATGTCTTGTTACTGGAGACTGTTGAGATCTTACCTCACCAGGGTCCTGGGCAATTCAGCCTACCCAGAGTCTCTTCCTTGGTACTCCCATATGTGACCATTTTGGTTTTCTTCATTACAGTTATGATTATTTGAAATTAGCTAATTTATTTTACCTACTTATTTGGTGTTTGAATCCTCCTAGAAATAGCATTAGATACCAAAGGGCTGTGCTAAGTACCAGCAACCACTGACCCAACGAAGCCCTTTGAGGGGAATCCTAGGGAGCTGTGTCAAGCACCTCTCTGGTCACTCTATGGAGAAGATGAGAGGTTAACTGGCAAGAGAGCCAAAGTCACACAAACAGGGCTGATCCAAACCCAGGTCACTGAGTTTCAGAGCACATGTCCTTCATATGCTCCCATTTGCCCCTAAGATGTTATATAAGGGGCTATTCTTTTGCTTTTTTCTTATAGCAACCAAGAGATGTTTAAACTCTCATCGCTGGATGTAGCACACGCTGCCTTAGTGAATAAATTCTGGAGCTTTGGTGGTAATGAGAGGAGCCAGAGATTCATCGAGCGCTGTATCCGGACCTTCCCCAGCTTCTGTCTGCTGGGGCCTGAGAAGACGCCTGTGTCCTGGACCCTGATGGACTACACTGGAGAGCTGCGAATGGGAGCCACTGTGCCCAAGTACCGGGGCCAGGCTCTCATTTATCATGTCAGCCATTGCCAGATCCAGAGTCTGGGGAAACTTGGCTTCCCAATGTATGGGCATGTGGATAGAGCCAACCACAGCATGCAAAGATCAGTCACCAGGCTGCTTTGGGTCTCCTTGCCCTGTCAGTGGAATCAGTGGAACAGCATGCCTGTGTGAGGCTGGCCCTGAACTGAGTACACTGAGAGTGGGCAGGACATGTGTCCAGTGTTGTTCATGGGGAAGTGGAGAAGAGGATAAATTATAATGTGTGGTAGACTGTGAGCTCAGGGAACAGGGACCAGTGACAAACAGCTCACCCCGACCCTTGTCATCAAATCATTCCCAGGCTGTCCTTGGTTTTCTTGGGTGGAAGTGGCCAGGCACTTCTGTCCCCTCAGTGCCAGGTTCCTGTGTTGTGCTTTTAACTGGCTACATGATTTCTCCTTTTCTCTCCCAATGTTTGGCTCTTTTTCACTTGCCAGGACAGTTTTCTGACGTTTTTCCTTCTGGCCTTGTTGGCTTTTATTTATTTTTTTTTTTTTTCTTTTACCGCTTGGAGAATTGTCTTTCCTTAACAATAACAACAAAAAAATAGTTTTCCCAGATAACTTCCTACATCTTCTATGAAAACAATGTAAAATAGATTGCATGCCTATGTGAGTATAAATATTATATACAATAAAATATTTGATGCAATAATAATTTGTTATTCAGACGCAAAGGAGTTGGTAATATTTTTCTAACTGGTATTAATATCTTTTGCAAAGAGCTATCTTTTGCAACTCATACCCTGGAAAAAGACTTCAGCATTACTTCTAAAGGTTGAGTGTCATTAACTCCCTCTAGAATCCCCTCACCATGAAGACACTGTTTGTGGAACCTTAGCAAGAACACTGGGAAATGGTGCATATGATTTGAGACAGGGGCTGTGGCAAGCTTCCTACAGGGCTGGAGATTAGTTGACACCTCTTAGTGGCACGTGCTATGAGATGTCTTCAGTGCAAGGAGGGTTGTGGGAGTCTGATGGATAAGTCTCCAGAAGGAGACTTCTGGAGGAGTCAGTCCTGAGTCTTCCAAAGACCACCCCAACAGAGCTAGAGGAATAGTGGGTACTCAAAGGAGGAAAGAAGGAAAGGTAGTGTCCCTGAGATAAGGCTTAGGATCATCACAACCCAGTTCCTCAATCAGTGAGAAAAATGGGTGAGATTCTTATACTTGAACACTGGGTAGTAGATAACTTGCAGACTTGTCCACACACAGAATTGCAGAGACACAGAGAGAGACAGAGAGAAATAGAGAAAAAGAGGGAGAGGAAGGAAGAGAGAGAGACCAAGACCTAATCTGGTTAAAGAAAAATCTTATTTGGTAAGGAAGAGAAATATTTATTTTGTCTTAACAAATGAAGCTATCTCAAAGCAGAGCTGATAATAACATATAAAACCACCTGTGATAGGGATTGACCCATTAGTTCTTGGAGCTCAAACTCAACAGCCCAAGGTAAATTGTCATATGGCTTTAAGTCATTATTTGGAATTTCTTCAAGACTTCAGTAAGAATAATAAGAATCTACTAAAAATATTTTGTGAATAATAAGAATATTTTCTTTCCAGCCTTGGCTAAAGTGGCCACAAGATGATGTGAATGCAGAGCTCCATTCAGCTGTTTTAAATAGATTAATTTTTATTCTTTTTAAAACATTACTAGGTCATATTAAATTTTATTCCATAGTGGGTTTCATTATGACATTCTTATGCAGGCATTTAATATACCTTGATAATATCCACCCTCCCTAAAACCTCTTTTTTCCTCCTCTTTCCTTCTAGTTCCTTCTCTAATGTTATCCTTCTAATTTCATTCCATCTTTCCTTCTTTGATTCCACACATGAAAGGAAACACGTGATATCTATCTTTCTGAGTCTAGCCTATCTGCTTAATATGATGATCTTCTGTTCCAATCATTATGCTGAAATTTACCTGAATGCCTTCTGTTTAGCTAATATCCTTATACGATGTTTTCTTTATCCTTTAATCCACTGGTGGTCATCTAGGCTGCTTTTGGAACTCAGTTCTTATAAATTGGGCCATGAAAACACTGGGTGTGTCAATCTCTATAATATGTTACCTTTCATTCCTTTGGGTATGTGCCAAGGAGTGCTAGGATGGGACCATACTTTGCTTTATGTTTATTTTTTTTTTTTTGAGAAGCCTCTGTACCCTTTTCCACAGTGGCTATATTTATTTCTATTCTAACCAACAGTGTATAGATGATGCTTTTACCTCAGAGCCTCATCAGCACTTGCTGTTTACTTGGTTTTATTGATAATGGACACCCTAAGGAAGATGAAATAGATTCTCAATGTAGATTTAATTCACCTCCCCCATGTATAAAGATATTGAGCATTCTTTCATGCTTTTATTGGCTATTTGTATTTCCTTGAAAGCTCAGTTGTCCATTTATTGATTATATTACTTGTCCTTTCATTGGTAAATTTTGTGATTTTATATATTCTTTTTTTAATTTTATTTAAGGAGAAAAAAACAAAAAAAGGGTACAAGTTATACAGACTTTCAGAAAAAATAAACAGTAGGAAATCACTAGTTAATTACATATTGTCATCTTAGAAATAGTTGTTGGAGTTACAAAATTAAAGCATATTGAGGGGACATTCAAACAGTGATACTGCAAACAGTTTTGTTCAATGATCCAACAAAACTCAGCAATACGGTTATCTATTTTATACACTTAAATATATATGTAGTTATATCTTTTAGAGAACTTTCTTTTGTACAATGACAATTACACATTTTGGGTTTTATTACTCCCACAGTTCTTACTACTTTTTTTTTTTTTTGAAGAAAGTAAAACCAACTGTGACATACCAGGACAGAGTCAGTCAAATAAAAAGGATGGACATAATACATAATGTAAAAACAAAATATAAGGTGATCAACAATGGTTACCACACTGCCTCTTGCTATCTTAAGAAGAATTGCCTAAATCATCAGTTATAATAAAATTGAACAAAACAGTAAAGAATAAGACCAATAAAACCAAAATATTGGAGACATTAGAGGACTTCAAAACAAGATAATAGTCAACCAGAATGGGCATCACAATGAATCTTATTGTCTTCATAGTTGTTGCCTATACTTTCAAACTTGGTACTATCAAGCATAACAGAATAGAGGAAAATCAGGCAAAACAAGCCGGTGAAAGCAATATAGAGTTTCAAATCAAGTTAACAGGAAATCAAAATAGGTATATCCTGCTAATTTTTATTTATTTTTCCCTTAATTAAAGTATTAAAAATGAAAAAGTAGATAATAAAAAGGAGATTGAGATTTAAAAAAAAGAGGGCATAACAACAAAACAGCGCAGGTCAAAATATAGCGATTTAAGCAAAATACTGTTTCACCACAAGATAATCTCGACATAATACTAGTTACCATAGTGTCTCTTCCCTTAAAATCTTTGGGTATAACTTCATATACTGTAGTATCAAACATATCAAGACAATGTAAAGCCGTTCAAGAGAATGACAGTATTACAGGGTATTTAGATTCAACTAACAGAAAATGAACAATGGTTTCTGTATAATTTCCTTGTCTATAAAAGTTTTTGTTTATATTATCACATATAATAAAATCCAATAACATACAACACGTTAAAACCAATGGAGACAGAAGAACAAAAGCTTGATGGGACTTCAAAACAAGATGATACTAAATCAGCACTACCTATTATGATGTCTTGTTTTCTCCAAAATAGCTGTTCCTATCATCCGATCTTCTCTGCCTCATTTCTGTTGAACTCTTTTTCTGTCATTAGTTGTCAGTTTGACCTCTTCATTTTGCTTTCTGCTCTATTCATTGTGGCCGCTCTGCCACTGTTTCTGGAATCTTGGTATTTTTATTTTTTAGAATATCCTGCCATATTCTCTGTAGAGTTGAAGTGGTGGTTGCAAATTCCCCTAGTTCTTCTTTATCCTGGAAGTACCTTGTTTTTCCATCGATTTCTAGGGACAGTTGTGCAGGATATATCCATCTTGGCTGGAGGTTATTATCTTTCAAAGCTTGAATTATTTCTCCCCACGCTCTTTGTGATTTGATGGTTTTTGCTGAGAAGTCTGCAGTAATTCTGATGGGTGTTCCCTTGTAAGTGATCTGTTTCTTGTCTTTGATGGCTTTTAATATTCTGTTCTTATATTGGATTTCTGGAATTTTGATTATTATATGCCTGGGTGTAGCTCTGTTTGAGTTGTAGGTGGCTGGGGTCCTGTATGCCTCATACATCTGAGTATCTTTACCTTTTGCTAAATTAGGGAAATTCTCCTGGATTATTTCTGTGAATTGCTTTTATAGGTCATTTGAGTCCTTACTTCTTATTTTATGTTCTTAATTCTTAAGTTATAGATCCTCTTATCATCTTCTAGTCTTTGTATTATTGCCGTTTATTTTCTTGTTATTTTTAAGAAGTTTTTCATTTCATGCTCCCACATTACAAATCTGTCCTCCAGTCCTGATAATCTATCCTTAGTTTCTTTCAAGCTGTTATGCCAGCTTTCAATAGAGTTTTTAGTTTCCTGGTAATCTCTTTCAACCTGCTTCACGTATTCTATGTTTTCTCTATTTTCTCCATCAAACAATTCTCCCCTTTTTTTCTGTTCTTCCATTCCACCATCTGTTTTTTCTTGGGCAGTGCTTAGCATTTCTCTAAGTATTCTACTTATTTCTTGCTTTATTTCATTAAATACTTCATTTTTGAACTCGTCTATGAGGCTCCAGAGATAGCGCTTTATGTCTATAGGTGCCTTGTTTGATATTGCATGTTTTCTGTCTTCATTCTCCTTTGCATTTACCTTTTCTGCATAAGTGTTCTCAGGATTGAGGACTGAGGACCCTTTCTTGTTGCTCCCTTTTCCCATACTTTTTGTTCCTTCCATACAAGCATATATAGGAGGCCCAGTTTTTTTTTTTTTTCTCTTTGTCTGTTACAGTTTGTTTAAATCTGTTGGCTAGGTGTTCCTGCCCACTGCAGTGTACTAGGGAGACACTGACCTGGGCAGCCTCTGCTGGGCCTGCCCCTCCAGTTCAACCTACTGAATGCTTCACTGCTAGGGTGCACCGCCAGGCACAGGGACCTGATTTGGGCTAGCCTACTGGATCTTAGTCTGCAGCATCACCAGGCCAAGTGCTCCCCACCACTCCCGCTTGAGAGGGGAATATGTGACTAAAGTCACTGCAGTGCCCTGTTCTGGCTAGTCTGCTCATTCCCAGAATGTCCTCTGTTGGAGCTTCCTAGTCTATGAAAGGGTCCCCATTTCTCTCACTCACCACAGGTCGATGCAGGGCTCCCTGCCAGTCCCGCTCTCAATGCCATTTGGTTCGCCGGTCCCAGCTGTCAGAGCTTTCGCACGTCTCTCTCCCTGCCGTGCGGACTGGGATGCAGTATCGGCAGCAGGAAATTCAAATCGTGACTTCCAATGGTGCAGGATCCAGCTTCCACACTGAGATTTTACCTGTTCCTGTTATAGCATCAGGATTGCATTTCCAGTTGGTTTCTCTCAGCTTAGTTCATTCCTGGGTCGGCAGGGTACATCTTCCCTCATGTAGGACTCCTCACACGGCACCGCTCCTGGATTCTAAACTGATAATCTCAGAGAGCCTCCGTGGCTGCTGTTATTTGTCCACCATGTTCTCCCAGAAGTCGATTTTATATATTCTTGAGCTAATTCTGTATCAAATTAATAGTTCTCAATGATTTTCTCCCAATAAATTCATTTTTAAAAATTCATTTTGATATGAATTTCTTATTATATTTCCCAGTCAGAGATCTGAAATGCAAGCAATTTCTTTTTAAGAATCCATAAATGTCAATAGATCAACTTATCAATCTAGTATATTAAATACACTTAATGATCCAAACTATATTTATACTTTTCCTTTTGAAGACAAATTATCAGTAACAAATAAAATCATCCTAAATAGCAAATAATTCTTAAAACTTAGTAATTAAACTTACAATAAAAT